ATGTTTTGTACATATGCTATAGCCTGATGTGTTCACAGGTAACATAGGTAGGGCTGTAGAGACTCATATTTCACCACTGTTCAGAATGAGCTATGGAAGGACTTCCAATTGATTAGTCAGCTTTAAGGAACACTATAGATATAATTTGCTTCTCATATTGTTACTCGTTGCAGTTTAGACTCCATAGGCTTTCCTGTGAAAGCTAATTCAATTTAGTGTCATTTACAAGGCAGGAAATTCTTGTAGATCTGTACAAAGTTTATAACCTCTAATGTGTCTCTGTGCAGTGCAGATAATGGTGCAAACATTAATCTTGGTCAAGTTCATTTTTGTTGTCATAAATGCAATATCCCATTCTAATCTTTTACAATGTATTCCCTTGCTAAAATCTTAAGGCTGTAGGATTGCATCAGATTTCTAACAACTATATATCCCTGGACTTCTGTCAGGATCTTCATTTCCACAAACTAAAGTGTTGTACCGTCCAAAATAAAATCCTATGCTTGCAAGCATCTTATTTCATGGACCCATTCAGCCAAGTTTGATGAAATTTTGCTTTGAAGGTTTAAATTGTCTTTTCATGTTTTAGAGGTGGTTGTTTACGTTTGACTATCCCTTCCTTTTTTTTATTTATGACTGAACTTATTTGAAAACTGTTGAGGCATTATAAATCATAGGCGTGAGTTGAATACACAGCAATGCTTGTTGTAGGATCTCTATGGAGGTAGTGATGTTGTGTATGAGTTCCATTCAAAACCTGTTATATTTTTACATTTTTCTTAGTTACTTCTTGAGGTAGTTGAATAGTATATTTATTGTTAATGCTACATTATTTTGACTGATTTTGTAGATTGCACCAGACTGGAGACAGGCTCAAACCCTGAGAAAGGTAGTGGAGGATCGAATTGCTAAAGGTAAGTTGATCTTACATTGTGTCAATCCACCTGATTGTCGATGTCTGAAAGATTCTCAAGGAATCACTTCTTGCAACAGATGGCGTGATTGGCATAGGAATTGCTGCAACTGCTGTGGGGCTTCTGGTAGGTGGAATAGCTGCAGTGGTGGCTCGGAAGAAATAACGTGTTTCATTATCGATGCAATGTGCCATCTACCCCCTTCACCTTTTGATCCTTCCATATCTATGTTACGGTATCAACTTATCGCCTGTGTGGATTGTTAGTAGGGAAGATTTTGTGAATGCTTGATGCTAAATAAGCTGTATAAATAAATTCCTGCTTACAGTTCATTGTTTTGTGATGCTTGATATGCAGTGTGTCCTTTTACTGGTACAAACTGCTTGTTGGATTGAATTGTAAAGTTAAGGAGGTTTCTATTATAATCATATTTGCATGTGATGAGATGCAAAAATGCCCTGCCAATTGTTACCGCAAATCTTGTTTTGGTTCGGTCCATGAGTTGAGACTAATGTGTCAACACTTCTGATCGATCTTATTTATAAGAAGTTCACTATCAATTGTGCTTAAATCGTCAGCATTTCTATAATTGCTGAATTGCTTGTAAAGATTTTATCTTCGCGAGACATCGGGATTTGTCCGTCGTTCGTTTTCAAATTAATTAACTTTTTATTTCGTAGACCCTTGGAGACCTGTTGGAGACCTGTATGAGGTTGTATTTAGGTTGACTCTTTGCGGACATATATGTCGAGGGTATCTCATTACTTACACATGTTACACATATATATCTGTTTGAAAGCCTATAATGACAGTAAAATTAATAGTAGTATTTTAGATGTTCTACTCTTATTTACTCTTAATAAATATATTAGTCATTGTTAAAAGTATATTTACCAAAATCAAATAGTCTTGAAGTCACTCACGATGAGTTAATTGATTGTCATCTTAGTCGAAATGACTTCAATCATGCAAAATATGATAAAAATGATAACATCAATATAACTAATTTACTCTTAATAAACATATTAATTATTGTTAGAGTCACTCATGATGAATCAATTGATTGTCATCTTAGACGTTAGAAGTATATTTATCAAAATCAAATAGTCTTGGAGTTACTCATCACGAGACGTGACGAGTCAATTGATTGTCATCTTAGACAAAACGACTTCAATCATACAAAATATGATAAAAATGATAACATCAATCAACATTATATCAAAACTTCTATCAAGAATAAATAATACATGATAATATTTTAAAATATAATATGCAATTATTTGTGTTATATTAAATGTTTGCAAGGATCGATATGTTAAATCATTTTGTGGATTCAAGTTATTTTGTTAAATGTTTTCTTGTCTACACATAAATGGAAGGAACAGTAATCATGAGAAACAATTCATGTCCTTTTTGCATTATTGATCACCTTCCTTTCACCATCATCATCTTCTGATGCACCGATCTGTAAGCTTCGACATCGGTTGATGAGAAGACCCACCCCGACATGGCTGTCAATTCTCCTTGGCCTCAGGAGACAATGGAATGTGATTGCTCCATAAAGGAAGCCATGATGTGATATGAGCGAGCTGACCTTGTTGAATTGGAATCTTTGGCGATGGGGATGAGGAAGCGGATGCGTGAAAGAAAGAGAAGGAACACAAGAAAACAAAGCGATCAAACTTGTCAAGATGCCTTATGATTTCCAAATAATGGCTACTTTGAATTCCCACAAGGATTCACGTTTCACCCTCACCGAGGAGTCCCTCCGCACCACACTTTGCCTGAGGTCTCTTATCCTCTTTAGCATCTTTAAGGGTAGAGAGATCATTTCCATCATCCGAACTCTGATACATATATATTAAGGGGGTAATCTGAGCAATCTTACCATCATACCGAATGTATATTTCCCAAAGCATGCTTTCTCTCACTAGATTTAAAAGCTTGAATGAGCATAAATAATAAAGTTGATGAGATCAGGTGAAGCAGCTATGCTGAACTGACAAGAAAAAATTATCATGATGATGCGCTGTGTCAACCTTTTGCATTCCAGCATGGTTTTGAGAACATCAGGAAGCTCATCTCAGACATGAGGCTGTGAACCCTATTTGTGTATCCTTTCATGGTTGGATTCGTGATTCACCAAGCACAAGGTTGACCAAGCACAACCTGGGGGGTTTTGTTTATGTTTGACTTGTTTCTTGCTGAAAGGCAATGTTGATCAGTAATCTGACCTGACCATGTAGACATCAACATGGAGTAATATTAACCTTCATGTGATTCTGACAAATGACCATGTAGGTTTTCAGACATTCCAAACTCCACAAAAATTGCAGGTGCTATCATAATTCTGATGTTTCCCATAAACCTCATATTTGTTCTTCCACTAGGATATGTATGATTCAAAGAATTCAGTAAGGATAAAGCCATTTCATGTAAAGTTCAGAAAGAGTTGTGGAGATCTATTTTCATGATACCATCCAACTTAAATTAGAACAAATTAACAGCTTGATTTGTGTCCTTTCAGGTGTTCCTGACATTATTCTTGTGGAAACTTTAATAGTAACAGTTTGACAGATAGAAAAGTAAGGATGATAAGAATCTGATCCTAAGAAATGATCTAATTGCAATACACTTCTAATAAAGATAGTATGTGTATAAGATAACATCACACTGCATCTAGAAAAGGTTTCAAACATCACATTCACTCACATCCTGAGTTCACCATTTGAATGGCTGTGATGATTTGTCCCAACCATCTGACCTTTTCATCCATGAGAACCAGTTTTGAAGGATGCAATCAGTGCTACATCTTTCCTATTTCAATGGTCTCATGTTACCATGTTATTGTTGCACTAAGCTTTGAAGTATCATATTTTCGGGTTCTTACCTAATCTAATTTGGAATACTTGCAATTTAGAGAATATGATGAACAACACTTCTAGCAAAACCATGGTTCTTTTGCTGTACTTAGTTTAACACTTCTAGCAAAACCATGGAATACTTACCTAATGAGGTTCTTTTGCTGTACTTAGTTTAACACTTCTAGCAAAACCATTCTTCCAACTCGGAGAATTTACCTCGGTCTTCTTGTTTGATCTTTAATCTTAGGATAATTACACCCTTACTGTTTTCTTATTATTCAGAATCACAATGCATGAACCCTATTTATAGAGCAGAAAGTTACTATATAGTTCCTATTGAGGAACACAAACATTTAAGAGTCCTAAACACAGAGGTCTTCCTTTTGAGACAACTACCATTTCATGAACATATTTACTGCACAACATTTTTGCATCCATCACCAGGTTTCATATGGCTCATACTGTGGAAAGTAACTCTTGTAGAATGCAAATCAAGCAGCAGTATCTTTCCACATTAGACTAGAAATTAACATCAATTTCTCGATCACAATAATCGGAAATCAGTTTAAGAGGTATCATCTAATTATCAACTCCAAGTTCATCCAAGAACAAATTTTTGGCTTAATTATTTTGGAAGGCAATAGATTTCTCTCTAGTCTAATTATCATTGAATGTATATCTAGGAATCAGATCAACCAAGTAAGAAAGATTGACAACCAAGTAAGACATTGGTCTTAGACCAATAAATTCATTGTTTTCTTTGTTCGCAAAGAATCAAAAAGTACCTGTTTGATTAACATGATTGCCTATCAACAACCATGTTCAAGATCTAAGCAATCCAAGACACCACAAGAACATTACATGGTCTGGCAATGAGAAATGAAGCTATTATACTGCTAGAATTGCATTGCAGATGACAGAAACTGGAGCTTAATGAGGAACTTGATCCAAGCACAGTGTCAAACGTAAATGATAAAAAAGCTAGTAGTGAAAATGATCTCTACATCTCAGAGCTTAGCAATTAAAACAAACAAAACTTATATAGTAAAGAAATCCTGATCCTTTAGATCCACTAAGATCTATAGAAAGGAGCCAATGAACATGTCTTAGAATGGTGACAAACTATTTATTGCTGCAATTCTAGCAAACATGAAGCTCAAAACAATGTTCAAAGATGATGCTGTATATTGTTAGCTATGGCAAATAATTAAATCACGCAATATCAACAAAAACATTTGTTCTTCAGCTGACCTCAAGACCTTCTCAATGTGGTGATACGAAAGAATGGAGGTCAAAGACCAGTTAGATTACACAGTTATTGTAAAGCCATCTCTCAAGGAGAAGATTGCTGTGAGGCTCGACAGAGTCAATGGGAAAAAGGAGAACACTAAAAGCAGCTGAGATGTGGTGCAGTGGAGTCAAACTGTGTTGCATTCATGCAAGACAAGGGATTCATTGGTCTACAGATGAGTGATGCTTTCGGTATCATCGATACAATACAAGAGGGAAATATACTGAAGCACTGTAGAAGCTGTTGTGGGAGGACACAGCTCATTGCCGTCACTGCATGGGAGACTGCCTTTATCCACATCCAAATAAAGACTGAGTCGGGAGGACAAGCACACCATTTAAAGGCCACAGAGAAAGGAGTGTACCCACTCCCTTCATCAGATGTTGACAGCCCTACAAGCATTAATAGAAGCTATTTGCTAACAGTCTCAAGCAATTCTGCCTCTCCTACAGCTTCCTTTGATCACTCAATGGAAGAGAGAACGTTTGCATCTCGGGAGACAGTAAGTGAGGAGATGAAAGAAGCGAAGCAATGGATGATATCAGAAGAATCAGCAAATGAAAACAAAAGGTATGATAGAGGCCACACACAGAGTGAGAAAGAGAGAGAGAGAAGATTGACCTGCATCTCCTCCATAATTGACAGCTTACTTAGATTCTTGTTGTCTCCTTCCTTCAATCCCCTACCAGTAAACCTGAAAGCTTACAAGAATCCAAGCAAACCCAAAAATACATTTAAAATCATGGAAAGCTCTTTGAGTTCTATGTCTGGGTGCAGCTGCACATATCCATTCTCCCTATTCCTCCAAGAACAAACTCTGTCGAATACCATTCCCTCTGAGTTCGTGACTCTCTCTCTCTCTCTCTCTCTCTCTCTCTGGGCTTGCATTGGGTGTTACATCGAACATAGAATGATGTGACTAATGTGATATAGATTGGTAAGCAAAGGAAGTAGATATGGTCCTTCAGATCTTACACAGTTGTGGTCATGGGAAGCCATGAGCAGGGTACATGGAGGATGGGCCGATTCCACCACCCCCACCTTGGGATCTACTGCTGCTGCTTCCGTCTCCCCCTCCATCGTTCATCTTGCCTCCAAATTGTGCCGCCATACCAAGGTTCAGATACACCATTCTTGAGTCCAAGCTAAGGTTGACCATCCCAGAGGTGGAGCTGCTTGCATCACAAGCGCCTGTTCCTGGATTCATTCGGGGATAGATGGCCGTGGTCGGGTTGCTTCCAGCACCACCAGTACCGCCGCCGCAATTAGCCTCCTCCCGGGAGATGACCAGTGCGGCGGACTGGACGAGCTCGAGACATAGCCGGAGCTTGTTGGGCTCGATGTGCGACAGGCCCGGTACCGCGCCCTTGAAGAGGAAGTCGGAGGTGAGGGTGCGGAGTATGTCGAGCGGTGTGACGCCGTCGACGGTGCGAACGTTGGGGTCAGCGTGGTGGTCGAGGAGGACGGCGACCATGTCGGGGCACACCATTTCGGCCGCGATGTGGAGTGGCGTCTTCCCGGTGGGACCGGCCGGGGAATTGACATCGGCCGCGCCGAGCTCCAGAAGAGCCTTGACGACCTCCCGGCTACAGTTCTCGACGGCGTAGTGGAGAGCGAGCGCGTCATCGAGGTTCAGCCCCTCCCCCATGACCATCAGCTTCACGAGCTCGACGTCAGAGGAGTCGAGCGCGCGGCGCATGCGGCGGATCTTGTGGTGGTGGTCCTCGAGGTCCGCAGAGGAGCCGGAAACGTCGATCTGGTGGTGGTGGGCTACGAAGGAGGACCGACGGGCGAGGGAGGACTTGAGGCGCAGCTCCTCGATCCTGGCTACAACGTCGATGGGGAGGTGCTTCGCGAGCACCTCCGCTGGGAGGCCCGACTTGGCCACGAGGTGGGAGCAGGTGGTCCAGAGCTGCTGCATGTCTTGCTGCCGTGACGCCATCAGCACCTTCATCACGTCTTCGATCGACGCCTTCTCGGCCATGCTGGCCAATTGCTTCTGCACCCAATCGACATAGCGCAAGAACATCAGCAGATGTGTCTGCAACAAGCGTATTGATTAATGGAGCTCTACAGGATGAAATAAAGGTCGGGGATTCCAGGTTGTCTCCTTCCTCGCATAAAATATACCGAGAGCAGCATTCGAGGAGAAGGTGATGATTTGTCTGTAATTTAGCAAACGGACACCCAATTCAAGAAATTGGGAGTGATGCACGAAGGGAGGAAAGGATCCATTGGGAACTTGTGATTAGTGAAAGAGACAAGCTTTTAGAAGCTGCTGTAGAAGATGCCTTTTGGAGCATACAGTGGAGGGAAGCAGAAGTGTAAAGAAGAAGAAGAGAAGCGAACAGTAGATGGAGACGTCCAAAAGAGAGCGAACAGATTAGATTTCAGTGTCCCAAAAAAGAAGAGCCGCTGCATTCGGTAACGAACAGAACTGTGGGCAGCATTAGGAGTCGTATATAGGTGGGATGTGTGAGTTGGAGAGAAGACCTCGGTGATCTGCTCGAGCTGCTTGACGCCAAAGGAGCGGGCGGCGGTGAGGGTGTCGAGGGCTAGGTCGACGGCGGCGGTGCAGTGGGTGTGCCAGCATCCGCGCTCGCCGCAACTGGGGCGGGGCTCGTGCTTCTGCGGCACGACGGAGACCTGCCCGCTGTAGAGGAACTGCAGCATCAGCAGGAACACCTCGTAGCTGACCGAATTCACGGGGATGACGGCGCCTCCGGCGGCCCCGGGGGACGCGGCGCCCCCCCTGGGCGACGACAGCAGCCCCGGCGACGGGGGATCCGTGCCGCAGAAGAACCTGCGGAAGAACAGGCTGCGGGCTGCGAGGATGCAGCGGTGTGCGTGTACCAGCCGGCCCTCCACGCTGAAGGTGACGTCGCTGAAGGCCTGGCCATTGATGAGGAGGTTGAGGTAGTCCAAGGAGAGGGCCTTGAGGGTCTCCTCCATCAACACCTCTCTCTCTCTCTCTCTTCTT